ATGGGGTCACAATATTGCATTGAGGAATGACAACTTAAAAGGTTCCTCAAATGAGGTCATATGGTGGCAATTAAAAAAAAGGCACTCACTTTTGTATGATAGCCTCCCAAACAGTCAGGAAAAGATAGAAAAATATGTAGGCGAATCTCAGATGTGTAAAAATAACAGGCTAATAATAGTAGGTGATTCAACCTACCAACGTTAACTGGAATAAAGTGTGAAAGGCTTAGAGATAGCAGAATTCTTGAAATGTTTCTAGGACAGCATTTTAAGTTAGCACATAGAAAGGCCTACAACAAAGGGGGTGGTGCTGGACCTAATTTTAAGGAACAAAACTGAGTGAGTTCTAAATGTGTCAGTTGGGGAGCATTTCGGTAAAAGTGACCATAATTCGGTAAGTTTTAAGGTACTTAAGGATAAAGATAGTCTAGAAATAAATGTTTTGAATTAGGGGAACATTGATTTTAATAAATGATAATACAGACTAAAGTGGACTGGGAGCAGCTACTTGAAGGAAAATCCCAATCAGAGCAGTGGAGTCATTCAAAATTAAGAACACACAGTCTACTTGTTCCTATAATGGCAAAAGGTGGAATAAACAAGGCCAGAGAAGCCTGGATGTCAAGCGACATGCAAGATTGGATGAGAGAAAAAAAGGAAGCTAATGGCAAATACCACGGTATCAAAACAGATGTTGAAGAGGTGTATAAAAAGTGCGGTGGGGGCTGGGTTACTTAAAAAATTGAAAGCAAAGAGCAGACATCAAAAACACTGACAGGTATTATTAAGAGGAATCCAAAGGAGTTTTATATGCATATTAAGGACAAGTGGAATAACCAGGGAAAGAGTAGGGGCTATTAGAGACCTAGGTGGCAATCTGTATGTAGTGACAGAGGCCATTGATGAGGTTTTAAGTGAACATTTTGCATCCGTATTCTCTGTAAAGAAGGATAATGTCAGTTTGGAAATCAGGGCGAGGGGATACAATATTCTTGAACAAATTAGCATTCGTGAGAAGTAGGTATTAGCAGTTTTAGCCAGCCTGAAAGTAGATTAATGCCCAGGCATTTTTGTGACTGGAAACCTGCATTCAGTGGCATAACGCAGGATTTGGTGCAGGGCTCCCTGCTGTTTGCAGTGTACATTAATGATCTAGACATGAATGTAAGAGGTATGATCAATAAGTTCACAAATGACATGAAAATTGGTGGTGTAGTAAATAGTGACAAGGAAAGTCTTCAACTACAGAACAATACAGACAGGCTAGTCACGTGGGCTAAACAGTCGCAAAAGGAATTTGATCCTAAAAAGTGAGAAGTGATGCCTTTCGGGAGTAATAACAAGGCAAGGGAATACACATTGAATGTAGGATCCTAGGAAGTACAGAAGATCAGAGGGACCTCAGTGTGTGTGTCCATAGATAGTGAAGGCGGCAGGGCAAGAGATATGATAGTTAAAAGGTGTTTGCAATATTTACCTTTATTAGCCAAGGTACTGAATACCAGAGCAAGGAAGTCATGATAGAGCCATAAACAACTTTCATTAGGCTATACTTGAAAGTACTGTGTGCAGTCTGATCACCACATTTTAGGAAAAATGTAATGGCACTGGAAGTGGTGCAAAGGAAATTCACCAGGATGTTGCCTGGGCTGAAGCAATTCAGCTATGAAGAGAGACTAGATTGGCTGAGGTAATTTTCCTTAGAGCAGAGAAGGCTTAAGGGGAAGCTGATTTAGGTTTTCAAAGTAATCAGCATGGATAAGGTAGAGAAGGAGAAATCTTTACCCCATAGTAGAAAGGTCAATAAAGACAGCACAGTTTTAATGTAAGGAGCAGGAGATTTAAAAGGCATTTGAGGAAAATTATTTTCACCCACAGGGTGGTGGGGATCTGGAACTCATTGCCTAAAAGGGTGGGTCAGGCAGGAATCAATAAAGACATTTCAGAAGCTTTGGGATGAGCACTTGAAACAGGTTAGCATACAAGGTTACAGGCCAAGTGCTGGATTAGAATAGATAAATGCTTGATGACCAGATCAGACATTACAGGCTGAAGAGTCTTCTCTCGCGCTGTAAAAATTCTATGACTCGATGTGTCTGTGAGCTATGTTGCAAGCCCTACTGATTTGTAATTATTGTGAAATTTTTTGGCTGTGTCTCCTGCCAACACCAAAATTCATACTGTACGCAGAGAATTCTCAGCATGCTCATTTTGTGAAACCCTTCAATTAAAAAAAGTGTCGACACCCAAATAACTACTATACACAGGGAGTTCTGCTATAACACGTGTTATGGCAATGCGAATTTATTATAAAACAACTGATGAATAGGGAAACACTATTTCTAAAATACGAACTTCTGTTGGCTATAACACGATTCCATCGGTGTGCATCAACATCACATGAGCGTTTCGTGGGCTTCATCCTGAGCATACGCAATGAGTTAGCACTGAAAGAGTTTCTGCACTGGCATCACGCGATCATGCTTTCTGTGAGTGTACAGTACTCTGTTGTTTTTTTTGCAAATTCTGCTGTATTACCCAGAAAATGCAAGGACAAAGTGACAGAATGTTAGCAAGAAGCATCCTGGTGGTAAAATTGCAAGCATGAACGTTAAAGAAAGGCTATAAACACTGGAAGAGAAGCTAGATGTTATAAAACATTTAGAGCGTAACAAGAGAACGTGATATAGTTCACCTAACTGGAATAAAGGAGTCTACCTTATGGACCATTAGAGACAACGCAGAAAAGATTAAAGCAAACTGGATTGCTAGAACAAGTCGGAGTGCTAGCAAATCTGAGAGGTCATGGACAAAGGAACTTGAGGAGATGGAGCAGCTTTGAAGTGTGTGGATGGAAGATCAAACGAAAAAGCGATCTGGGACCACCCTTTTCACCATATAACGGAAAGCCTTTTCAATTTATGAAGACCTAATTGCAAAAGCTGAAAATCCTGCAGGTGTGCTTGCCTTTAGTGCTAGTAGTAGCTGGTTTTGAGAACCACTATGCTTTTCATAACGTAAAATTATGTGGTGAAGCTGCCAGTGCAGACAAGCAGCATGTGATGGCAATTCCTCCCAAAGTTAAAAAATTTAATTGACGAAGGTGACTAAAACTTAGATCAAATTTTCAATTTGGATCAGACAGGTTTATTCTGAAAGCGAATGCCATCAAGAACCTACATTTCTATGAATGAAGCACACGCTCCAGGCTTTAGGGTGGCAAAGGATCATATGACTGTGCTGCTGGATGCCAATGCCAGTGGAGATTTAAAGCTGAAGCCTGTGGTGGTGTACCACTCTGCCAACCCATGAGCCTTGAAAGGTTACCTTAAGTCTACTCTAGGCATCTACTTTAGGTCAAGCAGAAGTAGTTGGATGACGGGGCAATTCTTTTCTGACCTTATTGATGATGTTTTGGAAGATGTTTTTAAGAAAGTATTGCAGGAAAAGAAAATTCGGATTTCAAAATTCTCCACATCCTGGATAATGTGCCAAGCCATCCTCCCACCATTGGTGAGCTTCCTGAAAACATCAAAGTGCTATTTCTACCTCCAGACACAACTTCTCTTTTTCAACCCATGGACCAGGGTGCAATAGCAGCTTTTAAGGCGCACATTTAACAGGCTGGTTGCAGCCACTGAGGGGGATAAGGGCAGTGTTCTTCAATTTCAGAAGCGTTTAACATCAAGAATACAACGGACATTAACATGGAGGCCTGGGGTTATGTCAGTAAGGACTGCTCGCATGCAGCTTGGCAGAAGTTTCTTCCAGATTTTTTCAAGATTGTAAAACCTTTGATCTATCAAAGGATCTTCCAGGGATCAAAGAAGATTGTGTTATCTTGCAAAGCAAGTTGGATTTGAAGAAGTGGAGAGTGAGGATGTTGAAGACTGCTCTACAGCATGAAGTAGTAGTAGTAGTTCAGGATGCAGCATCATGAGAGCTTTCCACTTCCGTTTGGTCTTCTATCCTGAAGGAAATTGAGAAGCAGTTGCAGCTCTTACAGGACAACAATTACACTGGAGAACACAGTAGGGTAGTAGTTCATGGAATAAGATCTTATTTGGCACCCTACAGCTTCTTCATGAAAGAAGCAAAAGGGCAAAGCAGCAAAAACTGGATGTCTTTGTTAAGCCAACCCTCAAGAAACAGTCAGAAGTCAATGAACAACAGCCATCCACTTCTGGATTAACGATTTTCCACCCTAACCCTGCAACCACGACTGTACTCGAAGGTGGTGATGACAACAATCCTCAACTCTTGCATTAACAACACAGCAACCTCAAAACCTCCTCCCCCATCAAGTCATCTTGACATTTTTAAGATAATGTACTTTTATTTTACTACTAAATACGAATAAAATATTTATTCAAACTGTGCTATCTTATGTGTTCGGCTTTTGAGTCATTTTGAACGATTTTTTTGGTGGTCTGCTGACCCCGCTTTTCCCATAGGCCCCATTATTTCTATAGCGCAGTTTTCCATAACACGATAGCGCACAGGAACGCAACTATCATGTTATAGCAGAATCCTCTATATGTGGGCAAATGGAACAGAAGGACGTCACGGACAGTACTTTTTTTCTGAAGAAGGGTCTAGGCCCGAAACGTCAGCCTTCCTGCTTGGCCTGCTGTGTTCATCCAGCTCCTACACCGTGTTATCTCAGATTCTCCAGCATTTGCAGTTCCTACTATCTCCGTCACGGACAATACTGGGCAGGGGAACTGCACAAGCGCGTTATGCACATGCATCGTTAAGAATATTTTGGGGATGTCAGCAAGCATTCTCTAGTTCTTATCACACTAAGCATTGTCAAATAAGTGCTGTGCAATCATAATTTAACATTTAACTTTAGACATTATGTTTTGAATTTTGCAAGCAGGGGCTGGCTGAGTAGTCGGTACCCTACCTAGCGTGAACAGCCTAAGGCGCTTGCTCCATTCGGCAACAGTAAAATGATCAGATAATATTTAAAAATTACATTTCAGAGGGCAACTCACCCGTTTCCAAGGGCAGACAAGTTTTATGCAACAAGGACAGCACACCCCAACAAAACACTATTTGTCAGCCTACGCTTTTTTTAAACTCAGCTCTGGAATGGAGCTTGAAAGCATAACTTTCTGACTCAAAAGCGACAGTATTACAATTGAGTCACGGCAATTGTCTAGAACGTTGATTTATCTTGACACTGCTGAAGTTATAAACTCCAATTCCTTATTTACACACTCAATAGGCCCATAAACTCCTATTATTATTACTCGAAGTTCCTCCGTCCCAGAACGAAGTTAGAGTCTAGAACATGCGCACTGTGCGGAATGACACGGGACGTAGGAGCTTTTGCGTCGTTGCGGAATGACGCGGTAGCTGGAGCGATGCATGCCGGGGCAGCTCAGCCGCCATGTTGGTGGTGGGTTGGTATTTATGAGATTTCTGGGTAGCTACTAAAATAGTTTTCATCCTGACTGGATATATTCTGGAAAGAAAATACACTAAACCAGTAAATACGGAGAGTTAGTTGTTTGCCGTGAGGAGATGAAAGAAATGTCAGCGTAAGTGATGGTTGTCTGGGTATGAGTAGGACTGGATTTCCGGCTGTTGCTCTTGGGTTGATATGCGGCCATAGCTCTTCTTGCGGGGGGAGGCCCCGGCATTTTCTCCTCTTCATATCCTGAGCCTGACTCCTGGATCGGAGGATGACAAGCCCTTGTGATGTCTGCACGGATCCTGGACATCCGCGTCTTCTTCCTTTCACGGGAATGGGGAGTAGCTGATTAGGCGTGAGCTTCTTCCCATACCCTTGTTTTCTATATGCCTAAGATAAACCAGGCACTGTTGACTGTAATATCCAGTTGTCAGTATTTCGGCCCATTTAAGTTGTTCTATGGTACTTTTTTAACATGATCAACCACGTAACGAACACGAGAAAACTTGTGAAGTGTTTTAATCCAATTTTAATGTAACTTTAAAAATGTCATTTTAATGCTGTAGGCTGTAAATATATCGCTTATTTTTGGATGAGCATATTTAACTTCTGATCGCATTTCAAAAATTATTAAGATATGCACCGTGTGTGTCTTTTTGTAAACAACGTGTTTTCCAGGAAACATATCTAGCTGGCGACTCTTTTTATAGGTTTGAATTGCGCCACTTACGCGCTTATTTCATTTACGTGGGAAATCCAATCTTGTCTTTTTTTTTGCTGTGACAACTTTATAACTGCAGACTTTTATCGCCCAGTGAACAGTCATTTTAGAGGAGGAAGGTTCTTGATGAACTCTGAAGCTCTTCTGAAATATTTAATACGCCTGCCCAGAAATTCTTGTTTGCTGTTATTGCTTGCACACCGCATCAGAAAATAAAACGTCTGAAGTCAGTTGTATAATGTATCTAACTTTTTGAATGCCTCAATCTAAAGCCATTGGAACTGGCGCATTGACTATTTTTTCATATTTCATTTTGTAAAAATGCATTCTCCTGACCTGTAACAATTTATCCAGTTATTTAGTTTTAATAGTTTACACTGTGAAAGTCTGCAATATGTGTGTACTAGGAATTCATACATGTCATTTTTACCTTGGAAGTAAAGAAGAATTAGACCTTTTTTTTGTTTGAAAAGGGAGAATGGGCAGGGTGATGGTGAAGACTTGTACGTTTGGATCTGTCTGGTGTTGTTTGTTTCCATGTAGTGGGAGCCAGTGTACAGGTCCTGAGATTGATTTTCAGCATGTCTTTGTATCGAAGTTTGGAACTTCCAATGGTGCAGGTTCCTGTGCTCAGCTGGCTGGAGAATGTCATCTTTTGGTATGCGGGAATCCTCCTTGCGAACCATATGGCCAATCCAGAAAGCTGAGCCTTGAAAAGCATGCTCTCAATACTAGGTATGTGGAACCTTGTAAGAAAGCTGGGGACTAATGATGTTATTACTAAAATTTGTCACTTTTTTTTAACATGCGTAGGTTGGCAGCTGGTAGACTCAGTCAATTTGATTTCACACTTTGTGGAACCTTGACTGGGTTTATCTCCCAAACCATAAGGAAATAGGACTTCAGTTTATCATTTCAGTTTTTTGAGCTTCAATAACATTTACTGAAGTTTGTTGCTGTTGCAAACATTTTTAATGTGGAATATATTGGAGATGTAGCCAAAAATTCTCATTCCTTGCTGGAAAAGGGTGAAAGAGTCTTCCTGTGGGTATGCTGCTTTTGGTAGATGTTTCTGTCATATTGCAGTCTACAGTTTCTAGGAAGAATGTACTGTTGCTAAGAGTTCTACTTACAGGACAGCACATTGGCTCAGTGGTTAGCACTGCTGCCTCACAACGCTAGGGACCCGGGTTCGATCCCAACCTTGGGAAACTGTGTGGAGTTTGCATGCTTCCCGTGTCTGCAGGGTTTCCTCCCAAAGTCCAAAGATGTGCATGCTAAATTGCCCATAGTGTCCAGGGGTGTAGGTGGGTTAGACATGGGAAATGCAAGATTACAGGGGATTGTATGGGTCTATGTGGTTGCTCTTCGGCAGGTCAGCGTGGACCCGTTGGGCCAAATGTAAGGATTCTATGGGATATGTAATTGATGTGCATAAGTAACTTGAAGGTGCAATTCTTAAAGTCTGAATTTCAGACTAAGTGATGACTCAGAGTAAAAACGTTCAAGCATCTGATTCTATCTGTGCCGTTGGAGTTTTGGCAGTCCTGTTAAATGCACTTCTCCACTGACTTGATACTGTTGGTTAGGATTTTGCAGCAGTAACAAAATTTCCAGCATTCTTTGTCAGAGCTCCTCTGAAACTGACAGCGATATCTGGGCGCATGTATGCGTGGTTAAACCCAGAACAATTACTTTAAACGTCTTCATTGAACACACTGGAGCTTGAATGGACTTCACTCAGTTAGATATTGCTGAACTGATGAGGGCATCCAATTTTGTACTGGTCTTGTATGAAAACCCTTATAGTTGCACCTTTTGAATGAGCTATAACTGTGTTTTAAGAGCGCTAAATTCATTATTAATGCATAACCTCCCTGGCACTAGAAAATTTATTTGTTGTGTATTGAATTTCTCCGAACTTATTTTCTTTCCAAAAGAAATTCAAGATTTAAGCAAAGGTAGAAATTGCTGGCAGCAACTGTAAGGAGAAAGAGTTAACATTTCAAGTTTGGTGACTCTTCTTGAGGAGTCTGTCAGTTCTGATGAAGAATCATTCGAATTGAAACGTTAACTCTTTTGTTTTCTCATCACAGATGCTGGAAAATTTCTGTTTTTGTTTCAGATCTCTAGGATCCACAGTTCTTTTAATAAAAGAAAGATTTGAGATTCAGTCTTAAGTCATTTTAGAGTAGCTTATGAAGTAGATGTTTAAAAAGCAACAGTTAAATCTGCTGCATCAGCTAAATAGACAGGAAAGCCATTTGACCTATGAGAGATGGAGATGGTTTACTGGTTCTGGAAGGCAAATGGACAGATGAAACCGATTTCTCCAGCTCGGGTGATGGACTGTTCTGTCGTAGCCGCCTTGTCTTTTTGTTCTTTCTTCTCAACCTCACTGCAGTGCCAGGAAGCTCTTTGTCCCAGTCTTCCTCCATCTGACAGAGACTAGTCAGCATTAATCACTTCTTCATGCAAGAAAAGTTTCCTTTAAGTGTTTCTTGTTCCACCCCACTCCCTACCATACTCTTGAATTTTTTTCAAAATAACACTTTCTCAAACGTTTGATTTTAAATTGGATCATGAGATCCAACCTTGTCAGGGATGTCTGTTAGAGACACATGCTTGACACAGACAACAGTTGTACTATGCTTTGCACTGTTGCTTGCTATCTCTCTCAATCATCAGGGATTTTCTTCACTGCCAACATAACTGTTTGCATAGCTTGAAGTTCTGCTTGAACATGCCTTTCTACTGATTTAGCTACCCCAAAACCTGGCCACTATCTGTGCAGCATGGTCCTTTCTTAGTACTTGAAGGAGATTCCCACATAGAAGACTTCAAAGAGGAAAAAAAATGTTGGGAAGATTCTGAAATACTGTCCTTGAACATTAGTGAAGAATGAGTATTCTGCACCTCATGGTATGGCACTGGTGCAACCAGGATCTGTGGGTTGTTATCACAATTCTACCCAGGATACAATGCATGTGAGGATTAACTAAATTTAGTGTTACAGAAAATACATAAAACAAATCTATATTGATGTAATACTGTGAGAAACCTCTCACTGAAGTTTTGATGTCCCTGGAAGAAATCTTTTACCAATGCATATTGTTAATTGTAATGATCTTAATCAAACGATGTAATTCCAATTGGAGAGAAGAAAACTTCAGCAAGATAAATTCAAAATGTTTTGGCAGTAGCAGGAGCAAATCCTGCTTGCCTATTAAGCACTGCCAGATTATGAAATGCAAATGGTACGTGACTGCAGAAGCCACACAGTGGAGAGTGAAGAATGCGAGACAACAAGGTGCAGAGCTGGATGAACATGGCAGGCCAAGCAGCATCATAGGAGCAGAAAGGCTGACGTTTCGGGCCTAGACCCTTCATCAAACGTCAGCCTTTCTGCTCCTATGATGCTGTTTAGCCTGCTGTGTTCATCCAGCTCTGCACCTTGTTGTCTCG